GCAAAAACCTCCCCCATAGAAACAGGTCAAAAAATTATTTAAGGTTGGCACTTCTGATCGAAATGGGTTCAACCTCCTCTCAATACATTATTGTCGATATGCATGTAATATCTGTTGATAAGTATTCATTTTGGACTAAGCAAAAACTGGGACAGATACATGTCAACCTTAGAAATGAAACCCTGCTGCTGTGCAAAAGACAGCATAACCTCTATACCTGAACCTTGAGCATCTAGATAGCTGGGTGTACCATATCAGATCATGATTGTCTCTACTGAGATAGCCTAAGAAGAAGTGGAAGAGGTGGACACTCCAGAAGATACCGCAGAAGCATAAAACAGTGTGTAGCAGTCAAACTGGTGCTATCAACAAGACCCGACAATGGGTTGGAACAAATCATATTTAGTACCCTGGGAGTATTAAATGAAGTGGAGAGAAAGCTTAGAGTTGGAATGCATCTACTGCTAAAGCCTGAAGATGAGTTACTGGTGACCAACTGGCCAGCAGTTGGGTGATCCAATAAGAAGCCAACCCACAATCAAGGTTAGAAAATGAGAGCTAATCCAACAAATCTGAGCAATGCAGCATCTATTCTGTCGGGAGAATCTGTTTGGATTGAGACAATTGACCTACTACCACAGGCATCACCTGCTAGTAGGATGATAACATAGGAATGGTTGTGAGAAAAGAGGTCCAAAATTCGAAAATAAGGAGCCTTGGACCAAGTGCATCCTCAATGAGAAACATAAAACATCACCATGGAATTGTCAAAGTGAAGCCTGATGACTTTCCCCTTAATAAGTCAAGACCATGAGGCATTACTAGTTGAAGAGCAAGAAGAACTAAAGCATTGTGTAAGGAATCATATTTGTCCATACATTGACCCTGGAATTCCTGACTGTTGGTAGGTGTACCCCATCCCTGAAGCAAGGCATTCATTAAGAGAAGGAACTTTGGACAAGTTGGCAGTAGAGGAATCCATAACGTAGAAATGTCCTAACTGAACAACCAATTGAGATTGAAGAATGATCCCAAAGAAGGAAACCGGGGAAACCAATGAACTGATGAATTTATGATCTCTTGTTTGCATAAAGACCATTAAAAGGATCTTTGTGCTCTCGTCCCAAAGCTATGAAGGATTCAAGTGATCCCCATACAGCATTAAGCCAGATGGAGCAATAATAGATGACTCAGCCCTGAAAAGGAAGACTGCCTTTGTTGTTTCTGAAAATAGAATCAGGATGTAATGTTCTGACAATTGACAAGATGGTGCCAGCAGAATCCAGTCGTCCATAGAATGGTGTGTGCCCAGTATGATGGAATGGGGATGACAAGAAAAACTTGTACAATATGGCAGAAACCATGTGAAGCCGATGCGAGTCCGAAGGTAAAAACCCGGAAGTGCAGAACCTGACCCTTGTGCACAACAAACACCAATAATGGTGGGACTTCCCCACTATGGCAAAGTTCAAATAGAAACTGACTACAAACTTGGACATCTATAATCCCAGTAACCAAAAAATCAACTGAAATTGAGGAATGGATAACTTGTGAACCTTGGAGAATCTAGGTTTGATATAGATGAAAAAGATCGATGAAAAGACACCTACCTCATAGGCCCAACAACAGACAGGTATAAAACCTCAGAAAAACTAGCACACCACTCTCACTACCCCTAGACCAACCAAACTCTGATAGCCCTAGAATGAAGTTCCAAATCCTGATAATGTGCAGGAGACAGAAACCCTACAAGTTGGGTGGATAATAGTGGTGAAGATGTGAACTAAATGATTAATCCTGACTCAAGAACCTGCAGTGCTCCTGGGTCCGGGGTTTAGATTACCACATGTCCAAAAATTCTTGGAGCTGAGCCCCCACAGACCCTGAAGGTATACAAGAATCACCGACACCACTAGAAGCTGACCCAGCATCAGAACCCTTGGATATAGACAGAATCTATTCTGGGTGCCAAGTTACCTAGGGACTGATGTCAGAGGTCGGGACCCATGAATAGGGGCATAATTATGACATTATGTAGGAGCCAATGAAATTCGTGCCTCCAACAATAACAGTGAGGAATAGAAAAGCCAAAAATTGAACCAACATGCCTGCTAACAATGGATCCAGCTCATCATCATCAACAAAGTTGTTGATCCTGAGAGTCTTCCAACAAAGTGAAGTAAAAGGAAAATATAATGTTGGATTTTAAAGTTGCAAATCCAGGGGACATTGATCTATTCAGGTTAACTACAAACTCTGCCTTAGAACCCAAAAATATGAGAAGCAGATATATTATTTGAGAATCAGAAAATACTTCCACCTGGCAGTGGTAGGCTAAATCACAAAGTTCCAACAATGTGTCGGATAAGGCATAACTGCCCCTTCACGTAACTGAGAATTAAACTTTCCAGCATTAACCACAATATCCATGGATGGAGAGAAAACTAAAAATTCACTCCCAGACCTTTCAGCCATCAAGTATGGTGCAGGCTCAAAAGTAACTGGAAAAAAGCTCAAAACATCACACACTCAAAGAACCAATAGGAGAAAACAAATCCACAGCAGCTTATCCCAAAGTGGTCTATATATATTATAGGTAATTTAAAGACTGTGTTGATTACTGTTGATTGAAACATCATTTTGTGAGGTAAATTTGTTTTGTTAAAGCAAAGCAATGTTGGGCCATCCTAGGGAATTGAACCCCGGACCCCAGGGCTGCAAGTCCGCAAACTCACCACTGTCCCACAGGAAACTGAATAGCCAGCAGACTAAAATAAGGCACAGGAAAAAAGCAAATCTAAATTATCTCGAGAATGTCGAGGATCGCCCTCAATTGCAGCCTCAGATCCCCCCCCCACCCCGAGGTCCACCCACCATCTCCAACCGAATAAAATACCCCACCACACACACACACTTTGTGCAATGCTAGATATCAGAGGTAGGATAGGAAAGACCTGATTTGCCTCTGTGCTGGAAATAATATTCCAGGATTTCAAACCATAAATTGGCTTGACAATCGGGAAAAAAAAATTTTTTTTAATTTTAGTGTTACGAAAATAAACTAGATAACACAGTTAAAGTTCAAAGTACCTCTGAATAATCGTAATACTAGAAAACCCGTTAGTGATGCTCCGTCGAAAAAAAGTGATAACATTATCTGAATGAGGTGTACAGTACCAGGATAGAGGGCACATTGACATAGATTGAGAGTATCACAAAATAAATATTGCCAAGGTCAATTGAGTAAGGTATAAAAAACTGGAGCAAGCAAGAAAAAATCAGACCAATGCTTAAAGGGGCAAAGGAAGAAACCCTGGTGGTCGAGCAATAGCTATAAATGGGAGAGGAGGTATATATATATGTTTTGGAATACATTTTTCTAAATTTTTAACTCCAAAACATACACAAAGTTACAAGCATATGACAAAAGTTATTTTGCTCATCCTTCGTTTGTGAAGTCAGTACAAACACACAGTCTAATTAGACTACACAGTTGTTTTAATTATGATGTTACAAATCCTTTCTACAACATTTCTACAAGTACTTATGTTGACAGATTTTTCCTACTAATTTTAATACAGTTTTATATGATTCACCACTATAATTAAACCAACATACCTGTGTCTTTCAAGTAAGCTTTTAGATTCAAATTTTGGTGACACAATTAATGCTTGAAACTTTGCCCCACAGCCATCTGACAAATCATCAACAGTCTGTAAAATAGGGAAATGTACATGCATTAGTCGTAGGGCTGAGCAGTTAGTGGAATTTGATAATTACATTTAACTAATTACCTATTTTCATGTGAGACACTTTATTGGTTGGAATAACCATGAATAGTAATAATCATAAACACTAATTTTGATTAGTTGATTACTTTCACGAGTCAGTACCTTATCGACTAAGCTGAAATACAATTAACCAAAAATAATAATGGGAATTCCTATAATGACAATATTTCAATTACTTGAACAGCTGGAGTAACTGAAAATACTAATTTCAATTAGTTGATTGATTTCATGACAAAAATTAATGTAATTGTAATTTCAATTAACCAATTTTTATGATACTAATCACTACACGTGATACTCATAGGTAGTCAATTATATCAACTAAGTTCATCACCCACATCTAATTATTAGTACCTATAATTAACAATCGTGGTACTACTCTGGGTATTGTACATAAAGTAAGAGATAAACAAGTGTACCTGAATTCCTTCTACACCACAAGACCAAGTTACTGTTATAACCACTGTCTCTAATAACCAAACACTAATTTCAATTAGTTGATTGTTTTCACGGGTCAGAACTTTATCGATTAAGTTGAACAACCTGGAATGGAATTAATTGAAAATAACAAGGTACTGCAAACGTAGTAATCATATTATACTGTACAAGTATAAACAAGACACTTAGTAAGATTACTTCCATGCCAATATAGGACACTTCTTAGCACCAGCAAATGTTCCTACTGATGTGTATTTAATTCACAGCTCCAATCACAACTTTCAAAATTAGACCTCTACACACAATACATGGGTAGTTTGATAATTATAAGCCCACAACAATGAGAAAGGTCAGTTCTATATTGGGCTCATCCTCCAGTTGGGATATATGCATGAAGATAACTATCCAGATAACTATTAAAGTATAACTTTCACTGTAGCATCCACTTATACATTATAGAAGCTACAGTTCCAATTAAACCAGGCAGAGTAGAGGTGACAGGAGAAGCAAGTACACCAGATAAAACCCACATTGTGATTCAAAAAAAAGATTCTCAGAAGAACAAGGCTTAAATATACAGGTGATACTTGGCCCTAGAATGAACTATATGTTGTTAATGTCTGAAAACACATTAAGGAGCAAGTACTTAATAACCCTTGCATCTACACTTGAATGATAAACTCATAAAAAAAAAGTGATAATTTTAGTAACAGTTCCCTATGTGAGATGTCCTTTTCTGGTTGGTTTATTATTGTTTGTTTAAAATAGTGTGAGAAAAATGTTTCTGATTTTAATTTGTAAGACAGAATGGATTTAGTCATATATATATGTTTAATGGTAGTTTATTTGGTGATAGTCCGTTAGTCCTAGGGCCCATTACACCGAAGCTGCAAGTTTCTTTTATTAACAGTTAAAATGTTAAATTGATTGTTTGGTTAAATTTGTAAAATTTTATGACAAACGCACCCCAGGATATGACTGAAAAGGTTGCAGTTTCTCATTAATGGATAGATAGTTATTTTCTTGTATGCACGTATAGTGTTAGCTGCAGAGCCTGCATATTTACACATCACATTTGGATTTAGGAATCTAACTCTTCTGAGAGAATAGACATTCAAGATTCTTATTCCATAGTGCTATGACAATGAACGTTATATCCCCTACTCATTAAACATGTTGAAAGCTTCCAGTCCGTAAAATTACCTTGACACCAAGCCAATGCAATGAACTGTATACTAAAATGTCGATTCAAATATTTCTACTGTTTGTATTTAAAACAAGAGCAAGCTGTCAGGGGCAGCTGGTCCTCCAAACCTCTGCCAAGATGTACCCTTTAAACTTTTCATTTGAGATTGCATTCATCTATTATGGACCTATGAATTTGTTTATTTATTGAATATTGACTTATATTGCAAAAACCAAAAACCTGTGATTATTGAGCCTTCAGAATACTGGGCAGACACTGGTTATTTGTTTATAAAATTTAAAGTAACGTAACATATAAGGGTAACAAGTCTTTGAGACTGTCCCATCTACTCAAATCTAACCCTGCTTATTTGAGTCTTTATTGAGCCTTCTCTTAAAGTTACCACATCTCGCATATTCTTTAATCATGCATAGCATATAATTATGCGTTAAACCTAAAGTTGTTTTTATAACTTGTAACAGTATTAACAGTGAGTATAATAAGACATACTTCACAATTTTATAACTTTCACTGAGTTTTTAAGTTTGTTTTAAATTTTTCATCTCATTTATAACTTTTCAGGTTGCCTGTTTCTGTTTCTTCTTTAGGTTGTAGGTAATCTACCCTTTGACCTTACTTTGAAATTTAACATGCACTATCTATATCTTAAAAGTTAAAGGGAAAAGGTCAAGATCTCTCAACTTCTTTTTCTCTTAAGAAAAGACAAGTACAACTATAAGATTCTCTTATAAGTTTACAAGATTACCTGGGGGGATTGATAGGATAAAGCCTTCTGATCTCTTTTTTCTTGAAATAATATAAGAAGATAAAAGTTTAATACTTTGGAATATACAGGTTAGGCTTCAAGTCCAATTAAGTTATTAAGATAGTTTTATTTTTGTAACAAAGTTAATGTGACTTAAGTTACTGAATAAATTGCCAGTGGC